AACAGACAACTGTGAATCTTGGCCCACAGTATCGGGACATGTGGGAATACAGGATGGACAACCCTCCTCAGCATCCTTACGTGCTAAGATTCCTGCTGGCTGCACATCCAACCCACCCAGCTGCACCTCTACAAAACACAACGTGGATGTTAGGTCACATTTCAGACACATTTGTACGCGCGAACAATAATATTCCGATGCTCATCGCACTACCTTCTAACAATAAGGGTGGCAATGTCAGGGAAAGTGGCCTCTTGTATGGCTACTATGGCTCTGTGGTCTCACAGCCAAGCTACAAGGCACAAGAGAATACCAGGGATACCAAAAGCCATGCAGCCTAGGACTCTCACACAATTGCCATTTCAAGTTGTTTTACAAAAAGCGGTTGCCACGCATTCCTCCATATGTGCATCCACAGAACTGGCACATGTTCCACATTTCTGTAAAGCCCACCCCTTCATAGGGGAGGAGCCAAAACAAGGGAGCGTATTTCACCAGGTGCAAAATTGGTGTGCACAGGCTTCAAGGGTGCACCTGCCCACTGCAAAACGACAGTGGTTTTGGGTCATCTGTGTGAAATACTAGTAACAGCGACCTGCAATGATCTTTGTCCATCACCTGCTTTGGCCATTTGCGCCGTCATGTCGTCCAAAGTCTTCTGTGTGTTGTGAACAACTTCCTTAATGTTATGAACAACCTCGTTCGTGTCGTTCACCTGATGGAATCCCAGGCGGGACTCACACTGCACAACCAATTCTGCAACTGCCGCAGGCCCTGTCTTCCCTTCAAACACACCATGCACCATCATATTCACAGTTGACTGAAACTCAAAACTCTCGAGTTGCCGGGCACCCTCTTCAATCACCCCCATCAGCTCTGAGAGTTCCTCAAGGCGACACCCTGGCTGCTGCTCCAAAGCTCTCCTCAACGTTTTCAACGTCCGCTGCGCGACTCGTTCAAGCCCAGACTGCGATTGGGCAAGGCCATCAAAGTCAGCTCGAATTCTGCTTGCCACTTCAAGGGCGAAGCCCAGCGCCGAAAAGGCGGGTCCCACAACAGGCAAAGTAGCCATTACATCGTTTGCGAGCCTTGCCATGGTGTCCATGGCTTCTTTTGCAGAGTGGGCTGGTCGCAGAGGATCAATGCGCAGGGGCCAGCTTGCCTGGCCTCGTTCACGTACGGTTCCAAGCCGATCCTGGCGATTGGGGCCCTGGCCTCGCAGCAGTTTATCCCATGAACACACTCGCCACTGGAGAGCGGCCACCCATTGGGCAGCACGCTCTGGGGATTCTGTTCTGAATGTTACCTTTTTCCTGTCTAGTTGCACTGTCCACACGCATTCCCCTTCTTTGTAGATCACTTTCGTCCGACCCCGCACCAGCTCGATGTGGTCCCCTTTTCCTACCCAGGCCCGGGTGTCGCGTGGGCAGGAATTGCTGCGCTTTGTGCGGATCCATCGCAAATCCATTCGAGCTAGGAGGTCAACAACTCGCCATATCTTCAGACACTGTGACCGCTTTTCCACACGGCCGGCATCAAGGGTCAGAAAAGTCTTCTGCACGTTGTCACTGAAACACCCGTCCGAACTCCCACCCTCCCCACCGTCAGCGGCCATCGCCAACGGCGCTGTGGAAACGTGCAGTCAAATGCTTGAATCGTGGGGCGACGGTCCACCTGCAACCACCAGCCGCATTACGTCGATCACATGGAACCGCATTGAAACCGCTAGCCACAACCGATCTTGCGTTAGATGGTGAGACAGAGATTACGCGAGCGATCTCAGGAGCCTTGCTTTCCGATCACGGCGCAGCGCAAGCGCCTGAGGGCGCTCGACGTCATGAGAAGCAGATAAAGCTCTCCCCCTCATGCAGTAACAATGCAGGACCCCAAGGTCACAAACTTGCCCACCAGACCGAAACGGCGAAGCTCTGGTGGCGAGCAGGGGTGCGGTACACACAGCACGGGCCAAGGCGAGAGATCTCCCCGGCCTCAGAAGCAGGCAACAACCACAATGCTGACGGATCTTTGCAAACACCCAAACGTCCGTGCTCCCCGTCAAGGGCGTTGACAGTACGCTTGGAAGGTTCCAACACAGCTATTCCAAACGGCGGACACACCGGCTCATCCACCGCATTGCATACGCATTGTAGGTGCCAAGTGGTCGGCAGCCGCTCCAGTCGCTGCAGTGGGGATACCCCACTGGCATACACACATCTCAACTTATCGACACCGGATGGTCCCATTCAAACCAGGGAGCCGCGGGTCAGCACCCCTCCGCTTACCCCGCCTTCCACAGCCTCCACCGCTGGCTCGAAAGGGCGCAGCGCCTGTCCGGCAGCCGTGCGAGCAATCGCCCACGCCCTGTCGATTCCCGCGCTTGGGCCCCGCTGCCTTGCCCACCCCCAGGCCGCGGCTCCCGAGGCCGAAGCGCCGTTGTGTTTCTGGACCAAGCGCGGGTACACAATGGCGGTCATCCTTTGAAGTGTCATGCTAATGTTCATCCTCATGTTCTGCTGAAAAGTAGGAAAGGTAACATCTCCGAGGTGCAAGGCAGGGGCTTACGTCATGCCCGTGAGGGGGGTTCGAATCGGGCTCGCTCTCCAGCGCTAATGAAAATGACACTCACATGCCCACCCTACGACTCACGCCCTCCCCACACCCGCACACCACCGGTTTATACCGCCACGGCGAACACCCCCAGCATACAGGTTTGTAGGTTTGGTGCATGCATCATGCTTTGGATTTCACTCTTGCCGACAGTGGCACCTATAGTGCAGCAAAGTGGAACAGGGCCCGCTATATACTTGCTGGGGAGGGGTTGCTCCGTTGTATGATTTGTGTTTCTGGGATTTCAACGCTTCTTCACGCATACACCACCCAGACTGTAGCGCCTGCAACATTGGTGGAAAAGGAGGGTTTCGCCTCGTTATCTTGTAACACCATCTTACATCACCCACACTCAGACCTGTGCTCGTTAGCACGGGCTTATAAGCCATGCGCCACAAGCCCCTTGTTTTCGGGGGAGAATCGCCATGTCATGAGTTCGAAACCGCAAAGTCTTTGTCATGTGCCAACGTGAGGGTGGGTCAAGGGTGGATCGGCATGGCAAAACTCCATGAACAGGACAGTAATTTTCGTTCATACTACTGCCCTGGGGCATGCTGGGGGAATCACACCTATTAGGGTCGTTGACAACGTTGTGCACTTAAATCAGCCAAGCACGATTCTGCATGAATAGCCTGCTTAAGGAAGATGCCATGACCCCCAACCCCGTGTTGTGTACTCATACTTTCACATCAGATGTTATATATCATCTTTTTACAACGTAGAAAAGGGCCTCGCATACATTTGCCCAGGAGGCTTGCCCTTTGTATGACCTGTTTCTCTTTCCCTTCTGTAACAAATCTCCCCTCCCCCAGCGTCGGTCTTTGTTTCAATGCCAGGATGACTCAGCAACATTACTTAAGAATGCCATACAAGTGGGATGCCAAAGCCATGATGGGCAAACGAAGCAGTCTACCAGCTTGCAAATTCATCCATTCTAAGGACTTCCACGAAGATTGCAAATTTGAGTGAGGTTCTGTAAAAGTCATGAGCCATCTGCCGCTGATCAGAGGTGTTCTTGTGCACCTTCCTACCTTCCTACCTTTTTGTGCAATTACATAATCTCTTAACGCCAATGTTCCCCCCCAGCCTTTCAGCGTCAATTTGACGCTAAGCGCACCCAAATGGACATTGTGCCTTCCCTTACATGTCGGGCATTGTTCGGGGACTCGAATGTGTCCAAAGCCAATGGGATTGACATGGCATTGTTAGCGAGTGGCTCTTGGGGCGCTGCCCAAGCAGGCGTTCGGCTTTCATGTCGGCGTTGGCGCAATGTGTGTCAGGGGAACGCTTCCAAACGAACATGCCGGCGACGTTAGCACTCCGCATGGTCGCTGACGGGCAGGAGCGCATATCTTTTTGTGTGTCTGCAGCATCAAGGGGGGAGCATCAGGAACACCTGCCAATGGAACCATGCGAGGAACCTCGCCAATGGTGCTGCCATAGCGACTGTTTATCTCTTGACCTCATTACAAACTGCACAGCGAAGCGAAAGTCATCAATAGGTCGGATCAAATGTACCTCTTGAAATACAGCCGGACTGGCGCCCGAGTCCGCCACAAGGGCAATTGAGCCCGTCTTGAGGGTCATGATGGCCGGTTCGCAGGGGGCCACCCAATCAAACCCTGCCTGCGAATTTCAGTGAGCACTTATTGTCATACACAATGTGAGTCGGGGTCCCCAGTATGATCCCAGCACTCGGTGATCCCAAGGCGCAAAACGCACCCGCCCCTTATGTCCACATGACCGCTAGTGCGCCAGAAGCTTGTCCCCATGTTCCCCGTGTTCCCGTGCAGGCCCCATGGCCAAGACCCGCGCAAAAGCAGCAACAAAAACAGAACTCCTACGGAGTTTGTAATGCCACAGGAATGGCTACAGACCGCCCAGCATGCAGCCCCCACACCACCGCGCCAACAGGCTCCCCAGTGTCTTGAGGCCTCTGTGTCGCGGGTTTCCTCCCCATCATGAGCTGGAGCGCCCAGATCAGCGCCGACAAGTCGGCTGCCATGCATGGTCGCGCATCCCATCCCCACCCGCTGCCTCTGCTGCACCAGTCGCCGCCAGCGTAAATATCGTCAGGCCGCATGAATTGACCCCTTCCGGATTATTTGGCATCCCACACGCAGCATACAACCCCGTCCCCACGTCAGCCCCCGGGGGGCCCTCGACACCCTCAAACCATTCATTCACAAAACGCCACGACAGCGCTCAAAGCCGGGCCGCCCACGCCTCCCACTTCCACAAATCCCCAAACGCCCACATACACTTCAATTTCTGTCCGCCGGAGTGGCGGGCAACAAATAGGCAACCTTGCGCACAATTGTCCTCCCTGCTGGCCGGAAGGAGCCCTCATCATTTCATCAGCCCTGCAGCACAATCCAGCCGCACCAGGGCGCTCAGACCGCGCCGCCGCCGTACATCACGCACGGGCTGCCGAACTCCCTGGCCGCCGGGGTCATAAAGGAGTCCCACAGCGGCTGCGACGGCTCCCCGCCCTGCACCTTCACCGGCCGCAGGAACGTCGCCCCAAGCTCTGCCTCCCTCAGCAAGCCGCTCGACATCATCGGGTCCCACTGATTCACATAATGCACATCCCGGCTCATAGAATCCATAACACCCCGCCTCCCGCTCGAAGACGCCCCCCCTTTGTCCCCCGCGGCCTTGGCGGATGCCGACGGCTTTCCGGCCTTGTTGGACTTGCTGGACTCCCCCCGCTGGCCGGCGGTCCTCGGCGGGCTCCAATCGCTGCCCCAGTACTCGCTGTCCGTGGGCGTGGCGCAGGAGCTGCGCGGCGTGATGGACGCCTCGGTGGACACCATGCTTGGCCGGCCCAGAACGCGCATGCTTTCGCCGCTTGCCCGCATGAACGTGCTGCCCTTCTTCGACGTGCCCCCCAGCAGGGAGACGCGCTCCTCCGGTATCGGGCTGGACCGCCCCAGGCTTGCCGAAAACTTTCGGAACCGGGTGACCACATCGGCCTCCTCTTCCGACTCGGATGCTCCCGGAGTGGGTTCGATCGTCTCGGGCGCCTCGGAGGGCGTGTCCTGCTGCGACTTGGTTGCCGCGGTGCCGTCCTGGCTGTCGGCATCCGGCTCGCTTTCCCGGAGATCGGGGAGGGAGTTGTCCGACAGAGTGCTGCGCTTGGCCCGCGGCTGCTTGCGGCGGCTGGGCGGGCTGGCGGCCATCATCACTGCGGGGCGGCGCAGGAGTTGGTGCGGTCAGTGTGCGGCGGCGGGGGGCGAAGAGGATCGGAGCGGTTGGGACGCGGGCCGGGGAGTGCTGGTGGTTAATGGGGTCTGCTCCGCCTGTCGCGCACGGCGCGACAGCCGCGGCTATGACTACTGAGACTGTCTCACAGACTACTGACTCCAACAAAGACCGCGACTCCAACACAGTCGTACCCTTATTCTCAGTCTTGCTGTTTGTTGAACACTACCAGTACGGCTATGACAAGTACTGCGACTACTGCGACTGAGACTGGGACAAGGCTGTGCCCAAGACTACGACTAGGACGCGGAACCGGAAGAGGTGTTCGCTCGGCAACAAGGCGGTTCGCAAACCACGGAGGCGGGACGTGGCCGTCCTGCCTGCAAGCAAATGGAGAAACACGGGCCCCAGCGGACGATTTCAAACAGGGCACACAGCCAGCTGCGACAATGTTGCAGAACCGTCGACTAACGGCCAACAGTATCGGCCAGCAAAACGACGAATGCAGGTGGAGTAGTCCCTGAACAACCTGCCCCGCGGCGGCGTCACACTGCCACCAAATCGCCTGACCTGGCTTTAGCATAACAATCAAAGCGTGCATCTGGAGATTTCTCGGAAGACAATCCAACGAAGAACGAAAAACATCATTCATCCATGGGCGGGAAACACAATCAACTGCCTTGTCGCTGGCACACAACCCCAGCCCACCTGGAGGCGCCAGCGGCAGTGCACTGCCCGGTCCGCACGCCATGTCATCGAAAGATATGGAGTGGAAGTTGGACTCCGGCACGCAGTAGGCCGTCGGCTCGAAAATGCCTTCGGATTGGTCATGCTCGTAGAAGGGGTTCGTGTGTAGGTCACCCTCCATGAACGGTTGAGCCCCTGGCCGGGAGCAAGCCACAGGGCGCTGTCAGTCACCCCCCCCAGGGGCCCCAGACGATCACGCCCAGCAGGGGAAAGAATTGCCGAAGCAAAGCGGGCAATCCGCACCCTGTTGGGCGCGACCGCCAAGCCCGGGCGATGGAACAAGCACTCGTCTCCGCACACCGCTGACCCGGGGCGAGGTTCACGCCCGGATATCGGAAACCTAAACAGTTGGCAGGCGTCCCCCATGCCCCTTCGCTCTGGGCTGCGAGTTTTCCATTCGCAGGTTTCAGGGAAGGCGGGGTTTCCAATGATCAGATTTGGTAAGGGGAGCATCGAGCGTTCAGGAAGGAGCGCTCGTGGGCACCGACAATGCCTGTGCAGCGCACTGTTCAGAAGGTCAAGGCACAGGGCCATGGAAGGGGTCTCGTTACCCGGGTAGGCGACGGTCAAAAAGTACAAGTGCTTCGACGAGCAAAATTCAGGGCTTCGAGTTTCCATTCACAGGTTTCAGAACGCGAGGGGTTTCCAATTTTCAGGTTTGAGAAGAGGAGCATCGAGTGCTCAGGGAGGCGCGGAGCAGCCCACCGTCCAGGAGGCCAAGGTCCGGCGCGGCGCCAGGCAGGCGGTCTCGTTACCTGGGTAGGCGACGATCATCTCCGAGTGGTTCGACGAGTAGGACTCGGGCATGAAGTGGTCTGGCGTGCGCGGCCTCTCGAAGGCCAGCACCATGAGGTTGATCCTCTCCACGATGTCCGCGAAGTTGGGCCGCGCCTGGCGGTTCTGGTGCCAGCAGTCCTCCACCAGCTGGGAGTACCAGCTGGGGAAGAAGGCCGGCATCTTGGGCCGCCGCCCGTCCACGATCGCCACCAGAGTGGCCGCCTGGGTGCTGTTGCCGTACGCCTTCTGTCCGGACAGCATCTCCCACAGCAGGACGCCGAACGAGTAGACGTCCGCGGCGTAGGTGGACGTGTTGTCCCGGAGCACCTCGGGCGCCATGTACGGCACAGTGCCGCACTTGAACGAGTCGTTGTTGGCGGTGGAGTGAATGCTCGTGCGGCGACTAAGGCCAAAATCGCCCACCTTGCAGGTGAATTCCATGCCCATTGGGGACGGCTCGCAGCTCTGCAGGAGCACGTTCTCGGGCTTGAGGTCGCCGTGGATTATGCCGCAGGAGTGCAGGTGCGTCATGGCGGAGGCTATCTCCAGGGCGGCGAAAAGGATGTGGAGCATCTTGGGCTTGTCGTACCTGCCGCCCTCGCACAGCAGGCCCCGCTCGATCGCCTTCTCCAGCGTGCCCGCGTCGCAGAACTCCATTAGCACCCAGGTCTCCGTGTCCTCCCTGCCCGGCCCGCCCTTGTGGGGGATGTTGCGCGCCAGCGCGCTGAACTCCGACTTGTCGTCGTCCATGATCGACGGCTCCTTGTCCCCCGGCGGGCACGAGCTCGGGCTCTGCGCCGCGTCCATCGTGGACGCCATGCTCAGCGAGCGCTCCATGCCCGGCCCGGCCGCCGCCTCCAGGCTGCAGTGCACGGTGACGCTCTTGACCCCGCACACGCGCACCAGATTGGGGTGCAGGACGTTGTTGGCCATGAAGCCCGCCAGGCGCTCCGTGCCCTTGCTCACGGGGTTGCGTATGATCTTCACCCCGTAGTCGATGCCGTCGATCCGACCCTTGTACACCGTGCTGAAGTTGCCCCGCCCCAGGAACCCGCCCCACTGGATGGACGCCGGGTCAAAGCCCCCCACGGCCGAGAACTGCTCAGAGGAGTTGATCCCGTAGGAGTAGGCGGAGGTGGGCGTGAACGCGGATGGCGTGTACTGGAAACCCTCCCCGGCAACCTCCGAGAACCTCGGGGACAGCGACGCCACGCCGGGCGCTGCTATGGCAAGTTGCGGCAGCGCCTTGCCGGCCTTGCTGCCGCCCGCCTTTTCCCCCCGCGCCCTGGCGCTCACCACCCCCTCGATCCCCGACCTCGCGCTCAGGCTGGACTCCGGCCTGGCCGGCGCGCACTCCGGGCTAACCGGGCTCGCCAGCCTGCCCATGGATGGCATCGGCCCCGCATGGGGCGAGTACTCCCTCCCCCGCTTCTCGGCGCGCCTGGCGCTGCTCACCGCACCCATCGCACCCATGGGAGCCATCGATTGATCGAAGACGAACCCGGGCGGCCCGTAGGCGCCGGGACACATCGGCTCCGGCGCGCTCTTCGGCGACCACAGCTTCAACCCCCCGGTTTCGTGCACCGCCCCGGAGTACATGCTCATCGTCTGCAGTGGCATGATCCCGCACGCCGCCGCCGCCATGCAGGGCGCCCAGGGGCCCGCGGGGCCCACAGGGCGCGAGTACTGCGCCTGGCGGGAGGAGGGCTGGCGGGGGGGCCGCCCCGAGCTGCCTTCCGCCCCGGACCTTGATGAAGGGAGGGACAGCTTGGGCGTCGGGGCCTCCATCTCCCGCGCGGTTGCCCGGCTCATGCAGCACAGCTGCCGGAAGCAGCCGGGCTGCCTGGCCCTGGAGTCGCCGCGCGACATTGCGCTGAGCTACCCTCCGGTGACCGCGCTGCCCGTGCCTCACGCCCCCTGTCCGCGGCAAGACGGGGTGATGTCCGCCATGTGTCGTATGCACAATACGAGGAACAAGGGCTCGGAGGGGAGGCAATTTTTCTCAAGGCGCGCGGTAGTACAGTCTCAGGGGCCTCCCCAAACTTTGCGGACACGTCGGGCCTCTGGGTTTTGCCCTGGTCGCGCACGGCGGAGGGGTTTCTCGCGAGCGAAGCCGGAGAAAGTGAAGATTGGCACTGCAAGGCCCGCAGAGGCGATGGTACAAAACGCACGGAGCGGCTTTTTTCGTTACTGGCCGAAGGACCCACGGTGCGGCGCTTTCCATCGCTACCCATCTCCACTCTCTGAAGCGCAGATCTGCTCCCTCTCCGCACCGCTCATCCTTTCAGCCCCGGTGTGTCGACATTTTGCAAACGCAGGCATCGGCGCACAAAAACTGCACAACTCGCGCCCGAGCGCACGACCACCTCCTCACACGTCCCCGCAGCACGAACCCGCACCAGATCGACCGCCGGTGCAGGCGCTTCTGCCCCGATGCCAGCTACCACAACGAGCGCTGACTTGGGGGCACATTTCCATGGTACGATGCGCAGCGACAATAACGCGGACTCTGCAGGGCACCCCTGGGCCGCACTTCCCGACGGACATGGCGCCAAACGTCGTCGCTTGGAGGCCAATGTGCCGAGGGGCCGCCTCCGAGCGCCCCACCGGCAACAGCGGGACGCTGCCGCCGCATGGCGAAGAAGCGGGCCGTTCATTCGGGCCCGCCACGCCGCGATCGGCCCTCGCTTCCGGCCCTTCGACCGCTGCGGGTGAGGGCGGGATGCGAGGCGAATCGTCCGCGCGGCTCGGGCATGCAAACTGGCGCCCTGTGGGGCGCGGGGGCGGTTGGGGGGGCGGGGGGGGGGGGGCGCAAGCCACGGGAGCCATTGGAGACAGGGCCATGGGCCAGATTGCGGGGG